ACCGCTCCGTCACCGGCTGCGAGCGGCTGACAGCCGATCCAGGGAACAAAGAGAAATTGGGACAAAAGGAAATTTTCACAGAGGTTAATGTTACTGATGGGGGGTGCCACTGCCTGCCTGCGTGTTAAAATTAGTCCGTCTGGAGGAAGATCTTCACTCAGATCTTTGTCATTAAAAAGATGCCACATCAAAGGAATGTGAGGCTGGAGCGCGGCGGGGCTGGCGGGTCCCTCTGTGCTGGGTAGCCCCTCCCTGGGGGTCCCCCAGCGCCGAAGGGGGGGCCCTCCTGAGGCCGGGGTACACGGAGCTTCACTGGGGGCTCCGGGAGAAACTTTGCTCCACCAGCGGTGCCCGTGGGAGGGGGATTCATTAGCGCTGCCTCCATCAGATTTCCCAGCTCGCCATAAATCAGGGCGAGCGGCTGCGAGCGACGGCGCGATCCATCTTGCAGGTCTCCAAGTCATTACATTTCATTAGGAGGTGCGCGGGGTTTGTATTATTTAGCAGGTTAATTCTCCCCTCAGATCACTCCTTTGGAGGAGGATTTCGGTGTGTACCGGGAGACTTCAGCTGTGGAATGCAGAATAAATGGGTCCCTCCTTGGTGGCTCCTGCCTCCAGCCAGGACTGCTGCAGTGCCGGCCCTGGCGGGCACAGGTGAGCACATGGGGACTTAAAATGTGACAGACGCTCCTGGGAGATGGGGCAGGGACCACCGAGGTGCACCCCAGCACCCAGGGCAAAGCCACCACAACCCATCACCCTCCCATTCCTGTGGGGCGCAGCTCCCCATGAGCGCTGTGGGAACGTGCCAAGGGAAACTATGCTCTTTCTGGTCTGCAAACATCTTCCTATTCAAATAATAATAATAATTGCAATAATAATAAAAATTTCTAAGGCAGGTGTGCATGAGGCTGATATTAAACTTAGTGGCTGCCTTTGCTATTTGGGATCGAGGAGGAGAGACAAGCAGTATAAATTGCACGGCTGCAAAAGGACTTAAAAAACCACATCTCTCATTTTGATTGATATTAGCTTCACAAATTAAGCTTTAGATTTATCTAAAAATAAATTTGCTTCCGCGTTCCGCATTCTGGATGACAAGTGCTTTTCTCT